ACAGCTCTTTATGTCAAAAGCTTTCGACAAAGTCAGTCACAGGCGCCTCGTCCGTAAGCTAATCCAGCAAGCTGCTTAACTGGTTCTGCTCTTACCTGTCAGGTTGACTCCAACGCGTTACGGTACTCGGCGCCACTTCAGAGGATCTTCCTGTTTACCTCTGGAGTACCTCAGGGTTCCATACTCGGACCAGCTCTCTTTCTCTTATAAGTCAACGACCTTTTCGAAGTCATCAGTTCTAGCAGTCGAGTATTGACGTTCGCTGACGACACAAAAATATTCAGAGAGATAAAGACTTTGGGGATGTCTCTTCTCTCCAGATAGACCTTGGGAAGCTTGCAACTTGGTCTCAATCATCTGGTCTCCTTTTTAACGAAGCTAAGTGCAAGGCGCAGCACATAACAAGGAAAACAAAACCGATTTTATCCTCTTACAAACTCATCAAGACCGCACTTGAATTATATGCTGCAGAAAAAGATCTGGGCGTATGGATTACTAAGGATCTGACATGGCACAAACAAGTAAACGAACAGTCTTCGCGTGCTAATAATGTGCTAATAAACTACTCGAATTCTTAAAGAGGAACACAAGGTTCATACTTAGAACCGAAGTAAGCCGAACGCTATACCTAGCGCTAGTTAGGCCACATTTGGGATACGCCACTCAAATTTGGGCCCCGCAGTCCATCGAGCTCATTGTTAACGGTTTGAGCGTATCCAAAGACGCGCGACTAAGTTTATCTTAAAACTGCTTTACTCTTCTAATATAAGTAATAAGTCTCGTTTACAAACTCGAAACCTAATACCTATTTGTTACTGGCATGAACTTTTAGATCTAACCTTTTTTTTCAAATTGACACACGGTCTTGTTAACGTGAACTCCTCTGTCCTACCTGAAGTTCGCAAATACAGTAGACGCACTAGATCCTCAACCAGCAATGTTAATAAATACATAATTAAGAAATGTAAAACTACTACGTACCAGAAATCCTTTCTCGTTAGAACTAGTAGCATGTGGAATTATTTAGCGGATGAACTAGATTTGAGCTCATCGACCTTAGCCTCCTTTAAAACGGTTATTTTTAATTATTGTAAGTCCACGTTAGCTGTTTCCTATGATTGTGAAGACCCACGTTCGTTCAAGTCTATCTGTTTAAAATGTAATAGTGCTCGCCCCTTGTGTCGTCTAATAACTCGTTGTATATAACTGTAGTTTTTCTTGTATCGCTGTATTTTTCAATATTTCTTGTTTTTTTTCTTTTAAATTAGTATCCGGGCCCGCTGTAATTGGCCACAGCTGTTGCGGTATCCCTGCCAGCGTTCTTTCTGTTTGTTTGTTTGTTTGTTTTGTTTATTTCTTTGTTTGATTTTTTTGGCGAATCTAATAAAGTAAAAAAAAATAAAAAATACTGAACTAAATTTCTAGGTAAGAGTATTGCAACAAACAAGCAAATTATTCTCAAAATGTTGCCACCCGGTTGAGGTTCTCCCAACTTTGCACGAATAATACCACAGTATTATAGCGCTGACCTTATTTTTTTCGGAATTACGGTTGGGCAGCGACGTTTAGGGACGGACCATTAGAAAACTGATGGGGGGGGGGGGGGGGGAATTTTCAGCTCGCACAAATTTTTTTTTTCGCTCACTGCTTGTGCAGGAATTTTTTTTTTCAGGTGAACCCCTCTGCACGAATTTTTTTTCAGACAAATATTGCTTTTTTTTAACAGTAAAATCTTGATTCATTACCTATGTTTTTGTGCTTTATAAATTATTCTACACTCACGACAGATGAAAGGATACAGGCCACTTTGCGGCAAAATCTTTTCGAAAATGTACACACAGTGAGAGAGGAGGAAGCCACTTGGAGTGGACGGCTTCCGTGTGCATTTTTTCAGTCCCTGCCCTCTGGAATTCCTCTCCCACAGCCCATTATGATATTTATTATTTAAGCAATAGCCACATTTTCTATGGGTTTACCGGCGTGATAACCTACTTGGGATGTTGGGAGAACACTCGAAAAGCTTGTAAATCACGAGCCGAAGGTTTATGATAACTTATGAAAGCTGTTTTACAGGAAAAATCAACACATATTCATGCGAGGCTACAATGAAGGAATACGTTCATGGTTTGTTTACTGCAAGTAGAAAATTGCACATCAAACTGTACGCAACTGTATTTTGTTGACTCAATCCGTAAAAATTTCGTGCTTACAGACGGAACTGGCAGCTTTTGCAATGGAGGACTTCATTCACTTTTTGTAAGTTGTCGATTTGTGAAGTCGGATGGTTTGAAGTAGGTTATGTCATAGATATATTACCGAATAATTTGTGCAAAAATGTTGGAGAACAAACCAGCGCGTTGATCATCGTTTACAGCTTGTTTACAATCTACAGCGGCCGATTTTGTGATTTTGTACTATAACTTGATCAGATATTTCTTTTTTTAATTTTGACATAAAATAAATCAAGAATGCTAAAACTATCCGTTTTGTTGCTGGTTGGCTCATGGTTAAGTTGTCCTAGAGACTTTCTACACCAGAAATCCACACAGTTGTTGTCTTTCTCTGAGATTTGTCATCGTCGTGAAATGGAAACTGCTTTCCAGCGTTGTACTTTATAACGTTTAAAGCTATGGGATTAGCGAATTGTGACGCTCTGTAATAAAATGTGGAAACCAACGCTTTTTAATTTTAAGAAGGGATGGGTAAGTCACTTGTTACGTTTTTTAGCCTTTCTGAAATCGTTGTTTGCAGATCAATAGCCGGTTTTGTTTACGGCTTTTTTTTCGAATGCCTTTTTCTATCGGTTTACCGGTATAATAAACTATAGGTTTTTGACCAATCAGATCGTGCGTACTATCTCAGTTATTTTATTAAATGCAATATACACTGTATGTTGCAGATAGTCCGGCTGCCAATGAAACCCATACTTTGTGGTTCTTAATTTTTGTTAAAAGTACCGGTGGCAGTGTTGCTCTTTATGTCATTGACAGTTTAAGTTTTAACACTTACTACTACGTGTGAATGCACTTTTTCATTGTATTATAGAATTCTTATTCAAGGCGGTAAGACCCATCCTCTTATTTTCATTTGGGGCACAAATAATTTTATAGAATATTTGCAAAGCTACCAAATTCTAATATTTATTTATTACAAATTTTATTTTAATTATTTTTTATTATAATACAGTATACAGTGTATGTTGTAGGTACACTAGCTGCAATTTAAAACAAAAACAAGGTTCTAATTGTCTCCTTTCAATAAGAAGAAAGTGATTTTTGTTGATTTCTGAAACTCAGACTTTCTGAAAAAGTCACAATTGGACCTTCCTTCTGCATGAATTTTTTTTCTTTACCTTCTTCTTTGCATGAATTTTTTTTTGTTTTTTTCCCCACCCCCCTTTTCTAATCGTCCGTCCCGTAGGAACGACGCGCGTCAACCGGAAGTGAGCCTTTTTCTCCTTAAAAATGTCGTAAGGCTACCAAATTGGTATTACTAAGTTTCGTTACTCTTGTAAGGACGATTTGCTCAAGAATTTTTTCAAAATCACCGCTGAAGAGTTCAAAAAGTGCACTTCCGGTTGATGTGCGTCGCTCAAAAACGAAGTTTAGTCTAGTTGCTTTTAAAAACTAGAACGTTACAGTAACTATCAGTTGTTGTCAACCTCTATCTCTGACTGTATTTTCCTTCAGCATATTTTCAAAACAAAGGCACTGTAGAGGAGCTTCCTTGTCTCCAGACCTACGGTTTATACTTTCCTAAAATTATTCAATGTGCTGACATTCAGTCCCCTGCTGTCCCTACTAGGTCCTACTAGCACGCGAAGATTTATGGAGTGTAACAGTCAAAAGGTCACTAAACTCGTGCAAGCCTTGCGGCAAACCTGACAGGTGATGCAAGTTTGATAATCTGATAGTCTTGATTCTTGAAATCTTTTAAAATAAAGGCCAAACCCTTGCGCATAGCGGGCATAACACGCAACCTTGTTGTCAATTATTTCCTGGCTGGTGTTAACAGAATAAACAAATAAAACATGTTCTCTTGACGACTTTCGTTTCGACAACTTCCAGTCACGAACAACTTCCACTTTATACGGTTTTTTCGGAAACGGAAAAAAAATTGAATAACTTTCTACGACCCTGCCACAGCAGCTAAGAAAGGCGTTCGGCCACAAAAGTATCACCTGCTAACTGGCAAAACTTCCTCTACCGCCGTTGTGAGGGTTGTACCGGCTGCAAGCTTCAACATGACGCCAGTAAAGATTACGAAAAAGAAGCTTCTGCACGCAGGTACTCCACTCGAGTTTTAGCTTAAATACCGTAATCTCAGATGATCGTATTTCTGACCTAAAAATAACATATGTATTTTTTTTTATCCTCACGAAAGCAAGAGGGACAAAAGACGATTTTTGTCCACCAGACTTATTCGCCTTTTGGTGGTCTTTTGGTGTAGCGAAAGATTGAAAGTTGAATTTTAAAGTTGATATTTGGAAAGAGCCGTTCTATACGTGGGTAAAAAAATGTTCAGCTAGATTCAATGGCACGTAATCAGTCGAACATTTTTTGTAGAGTTTTGTGACAAAATATATGACGTTCAGTATCGACGAAATGTTTTCAATTCTTTCATAGTAAAAAGAATTTATATTTTGATCACTAACACATTCACATCCACAATCTCAGTCTGTTACGCGTAGATTAAAAAAAATATTTATACTTTTATATACAAACTCGACACTTTATGAACTTAGGATGGAAAACGAAATGGTTGATGATTTAAAGGTTCGAAACGGTTATCTGTTTTTAAGTTCTTAAGACATCAGAAAGTGTCTTCTCCTAAACTACCTGTCAACGACCAGCGTTCGTAGGATGGTTTGCAGACAGCATCAGGCCTAACTATGGCTTGTGAAATCAATATGGCGACGTCAAGCAACCACGGAAACCGGTGCTTATACCATTTACTGTGGATGTCAGTGTTAAATATTAGGCAATAATGAAAGAAGCGATTTTACTACGATTCTTTATTCAAGGTAAGCTCGCGTTATTGTTTTGTTATTGCACAACACGATGTTCGCCGGGGGGTTCGTATATATTTCATTGGAGACAACCTTCATTGTGGACTCTTGTGTTTGTTTTATTCGTCATGAATTTTATTTCCGCCAAATTCTCCAACATCTTTCTAACAAGATCGGATCATTGACTACATCTTTTAATTTTTTTTCAAGTTTAAAACTGTTGCATCAAACACAACGCACTTTGTGGTGCAGGTTTTTTAGATTTTGGCGCCGACAAGTTTTTTTTTGTACGTAGCTCTTCAAAAATTCCACTTCGTCACGTTAAGTACAAATCTAAATAATTGATCACGAACGCTGTGACACCATTATTACTTTATTTTACGGTAATTCTCTTATTCAAACGTTTTTGGTGTTTAAATTGATGTATTCTCTTGTTTTGTATTTGGGTTTCATCTGAGAAATAGCTTCGTCAACTTCGTCGATCTTTGTTCGCGAAGAGTTAACTAGGCGAAATCTTTTCATTTTTATTTTATTTGATGATATTTAAGATTTTACGCAAATTGAAAAAAGTGTGTCAGAGTTGTTTTTATTACGGCTCCATAAGGTAACAAGATCTTAAAAGACGAAGAAAATATAATTTTGTCTGCTGCAATATCATCTTTTATATCATCTTCTCTGTTTTGATCAATATTGCAACCAAGGTCGGTTTGTTTACTCATTGATGACCTACTTTTCTCAGTACTCGTACAATGTCACAACATAAAAAAGTAAACAGGTCGAGTTTATCATTACAGATATTATATTAAGATATGAAAATTTTCGTTTTTGTGCATGTCTTCTTGCTGGTTACCGATACCTATAGCTTGAGATATCTTGGGAAAAAAATAATTTCGAGAAAAGTAATGAAATGTAATTAGAATGTACTTGATTTAAGGAGTTAAAAGGGTGTATAAACGTTTATGATACTTTAGGAACGGACAGCCTCTTGGTGAAAACCATTAAATTCTTATAACTCTCAGTTAATAAATTCATTACATGCAATAAAAGTGACATTTTTATTCTCTATATATCCATTATCCACTGCAAACATTATAGGTAAAAATGTGTCATATGTAGTCCCCTAGTCTGTTTCTTTTTGCCCTCTTTTTCAGCCAAATACAGGCAAAACCATTCTTGTTATGAACTCCTGTGATTAATATTATGAACAGCTCTGTATTGCAGCCAGTTAACTTGGTATAAGCTTTGTTTATTGACTGAGTTACTGGTCAGGCCAGGTGGGGAAATATTTCATTGGCTCAAGGACAGTCCGTCCTGACCAAGGGCCAAATATTCTCTTGCCCTGGCCGACCTAACTCAGTCAATAACAATGTTGTCCTTTGACCGTTGTGTTTGTGTATTTTTCCGATGGAGCAAACCTGTGTCGATGAGTACACTTTTCTAACAGGGCCTGATACGCTTTTCCAGCCTTATCACTCGATGTGTATGTCCCTCATACAAGACTTGTTTTTCATGTGGTTTGTCAACGAAATCGTAATCAGGGCTGCACAGGTCATGTAATAATAAAATATTATTCCTACCACTATTCCTACCTCTTACCTGTGCTGTCTGGATTGACACTTGGCTCTTTCCTGTTGGTATCCGGCCATTTCCATGGGGCCTAATCTGCAGTTATGGAAGTCTCTGGTCCCGGTTGTTCAAACATTGGTGATCACTACCCACTGGATAAATCACCGTCCAGTGGATAAGTATTAAGAAAACCGATATTGCATTTATCTACTGAATACAGATTTATCCCGTGGATAATATTATCCACTTTTCAAACAGCTGGGCCCTGTATTTTGGTCTTGACAACTTGGCTGTTACAAAGGAGGGTAAAGGAACTTGGTACAGCTGGAAAGACTCTTCAATTCAAGTTATTATGTCTACACAGGACTCTACTTCTTTTGATTGGTTAATCCCCCATTTACCCCCACACAATGTTGCACCACAAAAGAGCTTATTTGTACCCATCTTGCTTGTGATACCAAAGGAACTTACCAGCTTGCTCATGAGACAACATTATTTGGGGACAGGGAGGTAGCATAGTCAGTTCAACCAATGTCATGTTAATTGTCCCATATCACTTTTAAACCCTCCCCCCTGCAGATCAAGTGGAATAAACCACTTAGTTACATGCGTGTGGTCTTAAAAGAGAAAAAACTTAGAGGATTGAAATTTGTCTAAGAACTTGATTAAATCATACTTCTAAATACCTAAGGAGAAATTGTCCCTTCTTAGGGCCTGTTTACATGGAGAGAGGGTTACCCTTTTATCCTAGCAAGCGGGTTAAAGTTAGCTCTGGTTTACAAGCTAATTTCACAGGTAGGGTTACCCTATCACCCGGGTTAACTTTACCAGCTTCACTGAAGTGGTGTGTCGTGCGTGACATTCTTTGTAATGTCCAAGATTTGAAATAGAAGGAAGTTCTCTAAGGAAAACACATTAAATTCCCGAAATAATGTGAAAATATTATATCATTGTATACAGAAAATACCTTGTATTGTTCAGATGTTTATAATTTAGCTCAGAATTGGATGATTTCCGTTCAAATTGTTATGATTACTGGTCATGCATGACAGAAGACAGTAGTCCTTGTAGGGTCCTATCAATGGTATTTGAGAGGTGGAAGCTTCTCCCCCAAAAAATATTGTTATCATTGTGGTATATAAGCCCAGGGGGGGCACTTGGGTATTTTTTGGGTGGGTATGTGCCGCCTGGGACTCCAAATTGGCACCCCGTTCTAAAAAAAAATTCCCCTAAAATTGATACCCCGTTCTAGAAATGGGCCAATTTTTTATACTCCGTTCTAGAAAGTTTGTAAATTGAAATAGCCCTGTTTTTTTAAAAAATATTTCTTTATTTGTTCGACTTATACATCAAATAAATGCTTCTTCATAATCAGCAACAATTTTAAGCAGAAGATAAAGCCGTGATCCCCAATTTTTATACCCCGTTCTAGAAAACGCCTCTGAAATGGATACCCCGTTCGAAATCAGGAGCTTCAAAATCACGACCCCGTTGGGCGGCACATACCCGTATAGGTAATGTATGGGAGTGCCCCTCCCCCGGGTATATAGGTAACTATTGGAAAAAATCATCCAGATGCAACAAGGTCATTGCACACACTGTAACATTTGTCAAAATTGTGTCTCAAAATGCACCAGATTGCATCTCAGAGCATATTCATTGCAAAACATTTCCAGGGGAAAGGGAGGGGGGGTGCCACCAAACCCTGCTTGGAAGCTGGTATGCCTTCAGCCACTCTGGACTTCTCCCCCAAATGATAAATCCTGGATAGATCCCTGCCTGGGTAGGTGAGTTATCCCTAGCAGAATGTTTTCAAGGCAGGTAGGGTAACCCTAGCACTCAGGTAGGTTACCCTTGTGCCAGGGTAACCCTACCTTTCTTGTAGACATGTCATGTAAAAAAAGAAGAAATGTGCGAGTGCTGGGTAACCCTCTTGTTAGGGTAACCCTAGCACCAGGGCTACCCTCCTTCCTTGTAAACAGGGCCTTAGAAAGAACCACTGTTACTGATTTTCATTTGTTCAGACCTCTAAATGTAGATTGTATAAATATTATTACGATATATTTTACTATTAATATTTTGTTTTTTTCTGCTTTATAGGGCTTCTTGTCCTTCTTAGTCCACTTACAACAGCATCCAACAGGTTCTTTTTCAATGAAACATCACTAATACAAGTTTCAAGTGCAGTAGTTCCTCTTACTAGTGGTTTTGATTTAACATTTAGAACTTGCAATGGTGGAGTTTTGCTCAGCCAAAACGGTACAAACAATGGTTTCTTCACCCTTGAAGTTGTGCCCACGGTGGTGAACTATTCACATACTCCTACATTATTTATTGCCAGTCACCTCAGAATGACTTGGGAGATAAGTGGTACAAGACAGTTTGTTACAGTAGGAACAAAGCTGGATCAGAATTTTAATTATAAAGTGGAATTTGTTGCTGGAAGTGGAGCCATAAATTCAACGCTTGCACTAACTGGTATATCATCTGTTGACGTTCCAAATAATATTTTAGGATTTCGTAATTCTGGTCCTTTAAGGGCAGGTCAGCCCATCAGTGCAGGGCAAGGATTTGTTGGTTGCATTGGAAGTGGAACAAACATTCAACTCCGAAACAGTGGACCTGGGACGTTTTTAAACATTAAAAACTGTACTCTTGATAACCAGCAAGGATGCCCTGATAAAGGTTAGTGTCAGTGACAAATTTTTGGTATTATTATTCATTCAAAATATTTTCCATGTCTGATTGGCGGAAATCCGCCAGCTAATTTTATTCTTCATATAAAGCAGCTGGCATTTTCCAAATTTGAAAGGTGTGAGCAATATACATTATACAGTTCCAGTTTCAGTTTCAGTTACTCATACAGACATTCAATGACTAAAATGTTATTTAAAAATTAAACAGACATAAATTGAAAGTTGTAAAAGAATTATAAGTATTTTTCTGGTGAGGAAGCTAAAATAGAAACCTTGGGGCTTATTATATGAGCCCCTTCCTAAGACTAAATATTATGAATAAATAAGCGGCGAAATCATACTGAAATGTAATTAGGATAAAAAGCAAGCAAAACAAAACAGACAAGAAGCGGCAAAAATCAAGTACGATTTACAAGTGGTGAATCAGCTAAGATCATTGAATGATGGTTTACTTGCGTGGAAATGAGGTTGATCAATGGTATATTTGTGTGGAAACGAGGCTACTTGGGAAACAGTTACGCTGGATTTATGGGTCTGTCTGCAGGTACCTTCATCAAAAAAGAAATAAAGGAACCAAATTAATGTTAAAGTTCTCCTCGGGGCTTTATTGTTTGGTTGTAATGTTTCTTCTATTGTACATACTCGGTTATAAGACGCACCCCGAGTTTTGAGCAGATTTTGATCAAACAAGCATATTTTCTTGTAAAAAATGGTGCGTCTTATAAGTGAATAAATACGGTAATCTGTCTGTTTTTAGAACAAAAAACACACGGAAAGGCAAAAGAAAACCCGCAAAGATATTAGAGCTATGAAAACGGAATCCAATAGAACATACTTACAGAACCTCTCCAGTCTAGAACTTACAAATGATCAGAAGCCAGCATTCGCTTGACTGTTTGGAATTGGTCTGGTGAGAATCGGTACCCAGGGGCTCTTCTGCTCGTGCTTGAAAACTTTTATCACACCTTGTCTCCCGACCCGACTTACTGCCCTGGGTCTCTGAGGATGCGACACCTATGGAACTTTGCCATTGCAATTGTGTAATTTCACATGCACAATAATTATTAGAAATTAACACTGAAATTTAGTGCCAGAATTAAGGAGTAATTATTGTCACCCATGAAATGAGATTGATTTACCCTTCTGCACATGTTGACTTGCAGTTTGCCCTACTGGTTTTACTGGAGATTACTGTGAAATCAACATTGATGATTGTGCACAGATTCCATGTCATCACTTCAGTACATGTAAAGACCTCATTGGTAATTACAGCTGTGTATGTGGGCCTCGCTGGACTGGCAGACACTGTGATAACTACTTAGGACCTTTATGCAATTCTTCTCTTTGCCAAAATGGAGGCCACTGTAGAGAAACTGCGGACTTGAATAACTACACCTGTACATGTGCTCCTGGTTACACTGGGAGGAACTGTGAGGTCCAATTTGATCCTTGTGACAGTTCCCCATGTCAACAAGGTGGAACATGCTCTAAGCTTGGAAGTGAAAATTTCCAGTGTGCCTGTCCATCAGGTTAGTCTTCAATTGTCATTTGAACTATTGGTCTATCAATGTAATTACGGTAGATACTGTAACTCTTCACTGGGCTGTGTTCTAGCTTGTGTTGGAAATCACTTGAGATGTTACAAACAGTCATGAAAAATAATCAGATTGACCCAACTGAGCAATGATCGATTATAATATTGGCAAAATCTCTCTATAGCATTCCATTTATTTTTCTCCTTTGTGCAAGTCAAACTTTTTTAGTTTTTGACTTTAGACCACTGAGCTAAGAATTTTTTCTGTGCTTTCAGGTGATCAATTTCTCTTTCTTCTTTAATTGTGAGATGATTAAAAAGACAACACTCAAGTTTTCAATACTGTACTTTATTTGCCAACATATGATTTTTAATGCAATAACTGATTGAACATTTTCCATAGTCTACTATCCCATGAAAGATTTCAGATCAATGATCGGCCCATCCTTGGTTCTACAGTGTAGAAAGGCCCAATGGTACTGTACCTGGTGACTTACTTTTGGCTTTCAATGCACAACATGGAAGACTTAGTTTTAGCGTAACTTGTAAAATGCTGGCCTATCTCTCTCTCTGCTGGAAATTCTCCTGAGCCGAGCCGACAATTTCCTACCACATTGCCTTGCAGTCTATCATTGCAGTTTTGATTTCCAAAACGGATGCCAAACACGGGGCTTGAAATAGTTTTGTGAATGGCACCGGTCAAGTTCCAGTTAAACCTATTTTTGTTTGGACATACCCCTTTGCCAGACAATTACAAATATTTTATTATGACATACATGTATCTCTATAAATTTAAACTAAATTTGGTTCATTAGAAGTGTAAAATTAGGGCCCAGACAAAGTGTTCGGTCATCCAAGGATTTGACCGGTCAAAGCTTACTTTTGACCTAGGACATAATATATGTCCATTGACTGGCCGTTAATTCAAGCCCTACCAACCAGTGGATGCAGTGTATAAAGAATAGCCATATCTGAAAGACTGATAGTGGCTAGTCAGGGGCTGGTACTGAGCAGATTCTGTGATTAGGCTAGTGAATTCTGTCCCTTGTTCAGCGGGGCTGTTTTAACTTATTAATTATGAGTTCTTTTGACTTATCAATCATAGTAGTGGAGATGTTTCAGGCAAACACATCTTTACTTGCCTGAAGGGTAACCTAGAATTTTTTTTTTTTGGCATAGAATGCTCAAAGTTGTTGGACTCCCTATAGTTAGTTCAGTTCTTAAAGCACAGCCTCGATTTAAAAAAATTTTCATTTTGATGATTATTGTACTTTTCACGCATTTATTATTTTCAGGGCTTAACATTAAAATACCTTAACCCCTCAGTTTATAAAGATTTCCCTGTTTTAAAAAACAATCTGCAGAAAGTTTAATATAATACAGTCACTGTCACTTGCAGTGTAGGTATTTTAGCTGTCAAGCCACAAATGTCTATTTATGAACTATAGGGGGGGCAGCACAAACCAACTGAGAATTCTGTGACCACAACACAGTCATTATATTAGCTGCCTTTGCCACCATGTGCTCCTAGAGTATATATCTGTATTTGTCACTATGACAAGTTCATAGGTTGTGGATAACTTTTTAACATAATTAATTTTTGTCTTTGAAAATTCAGGTTTTAAGGGTCCGGCTTGTAATATAAATGTAAATGAATGTGGAGCATTACCATGCAGCCATGGCTCATGTATTGATGGAATTAACAGCTACACTTGCAACTGTACTGGATCTGGTTATACAGGACAAACCTGTGCAGAGGATATTAACGAATGTGAAACTAACAACCCTTGTCATCCTAATGCGACTTGTACAAACTACCCTGGTACTTATCAGTGCAACTGTCAAGCTGGATTTACGGGCAAGAACTGCTATGAGAATGTTGATGACTGTCGTAGTAACCCTTGTAGAAATGGAGGTGAGTCACATGCCAATCAGATCCAGTGCTGCACTCTTTTAGACTTTGATGAGCTACTCCCCTTGGTGTTGACTGGAACTCATCCAGGGAGGTTTTACTGTTATCAGAAAAAGGGGTAATACTATGGGGAATTATCACAAGTTATAAGCCAGGTACTATCCTGTGCATGATCCAGGGTTCGCACAGTCTTGAAAAGTCCTTGAATTTTAGAGGAAGTCCTTGAAAAGTCCTTGAATTTTCTTCAACTTTGAATGTAGTGGCCTGGAAAGTGTTTTTTGATGCTTTTTGGTTGTCCAAGACAAAATATAAATCAAGCTCAGAGAATTTAAAGGTCATTTACATAAAGTGTTCAATGTTTTATGAAATAATTAACTATCAATTTAAGACAAGTGAACTGAAAAATGTAGAGAAGATGGTGAAGTAAACAGATCAAACCTTAAAGCCTTATTAGAATAGACTGGGAAGGGGCATTTATGTACAATCTGGGAATTTATATTCCTAGAAGGTGGTCCTTGAAAATCTAATGTGGCCTTAACAAGTCCTTGAAAAATGGTTGCAGTGTTTTGCATGAACCCTGATTTTGATTGGGTGCATAAATGAATGATTCTTAGTTAAAGGAATAGTGGTTTGAAATCCGTTAATAGAACCGAAAGCCTATTTTGCCTTGGGATTAATTTTTCCTGGAAAAGTCACTCTGCAGCAGATTAGTCTTGGTTGCAAAACTACCGCATGCAAGCTCTCATGTCCCCTATGTCTTGAGTGGGTTGTGTGTTGACTGGGGAGTGCATGAGCCTCACATGCCCTACGGCCAGGGGACTCCCCTATAAAAGTGACTGGGATGCTCATAGGAAAATGAAAATTATTAAACCACAAGTTTAAACTGACCCCTAAAGGAGATCTCTGTGTGGTCAGGGTTGCAGCATTTTTGGTAAATTTCTTTATGCACAGCCCTTAGTGACTTTCCATCCCCCCAAAAAATAAGTTAGACCAAAACCTGCAATTTTGGTCTAAGCGAGATGGCGAGCATCCCCGTCACTTTTATATGGGAGTCTCCCCCACACCCCCGGCCCTGGTGTAGAGAGAAAAATCACTCTCTCCCCAGTATCACTCTCCATTTTCAGCCTTTCTGCATACTCTTCGTTTTGACTGTTTGGGCACACATTACTTGACTACGCAAAAATATGGCCTGTTTTAGAGCACTAGACCACTATATCCAAAAGGAAATTCCGGTTTAACCTGACAGTGGACTTAACTACAACTTACAACTTACAATTACAAGTAAAAGTGTTAGGTACTCTCACACAAAGTAATGTGTTTTATGTTGTCACTTTTAGGATCTTGTCATGATAAAGTAAGTGGTTACATCTGTAACTGCACAGTGGGCTTTAATGGCAGCCTTTGTGAGAATAACATTGATGACTGTGTATCTCACACTTGTAACAACTATTCATTGTGCGAGGATGGAATCAATAACTACGCGTGTGTTTGTAAGCCTGGTAAGTTTGTAGCCTAAAGTAGTTACAGGTATTATTTACACAGTTTCAACTCCATGCTCAGCTTGGTTATATCATATTGTTGTTGTCAGGTCATCAGTTTGAGTAGACCTGTTAGCGTGGCTGGTAAAAGTTGTGTGTTGCTCATTAAACAGGGGCACCCAACGGCAATTTTCGGGAAAATATCTGTTCGGAAGACGATTTGAGATCTAGAATTTTCGGAGCATTTGTTGTAAAATTTCTTGCTTGCCTGCCTCCCCTAGGATTTTCGAACATCTACAAAATGGTATAATTACCCATTTTTAACGGATTTTGACCCTAAAAAAGGCCACCTAGAATTTTCGGGAGCCTTTTCCTGGCTGAAATTTTCGAGAAGGTAAGTTTTTATCCCTATAATTTTCGGATCACTAGACTTTCAGCTAGGAAATCCGAACAGATGAAAAGTTTTTAGGGGATAAAAATATGCCTATCTCTACCGTTTGAATACTAAAATACGTTCAACAATGCTATGTTAAGTGGTTTTGAACTATATCCTCTTTGGGTGCCCCTGATTAAAGACCATGTGATTTTACTTTAGAAAAAGTTGTTTCTGTTATCCTATTCATACGTCTGTGGATGCATAATTTATATAGGGGATATTACATAGCCATGCAGAGATATAATAGAATAAACACCAATGAAATACATGTACCAAACCAGTTTTACTTAAATATAGGCACAATTTATTCTCTGTTTTCAGGGGTCAAGATATCACGTTTTTGCACAAAAGCCCGTATTTCGTTGGCAATTATATAATAAGAAAAGATCAGCGATGCTGTTTCATAGGCATCAAGTGTTTAATTCTGTATTCGTTTCTTCCTTGTAGGATATACTGGAGTCAATTGTACCACGGATATCAATGAGTGTGATTCAAGTCCTTGTCAACATGGTGGCAATTGTACGCATGGCATTAACTTCTATAATTGCTCGTGTCCTGAGCGGTACAATGGCACAAACTGTGAACTGGACTTGGTAGATGATTGTAAGCCTACAAATCCCTGTTTCAATAATGCAACTTGTGTTGATGACGTCAACACGTTCAACTGCACTTGCCTTCCTGGATATGAAGGCCCAAGGTCAGTTTTCACTTTCACATTAAGTTCGTAATCGGCAAAAAAGGGCTCCCCCGTTCGCTATTTCATCCATTCATAAAGCTACTGTTAAACGGGCGACAAAAACGTGTAACTTATTTCGAAACATTGCCGCAAAACGAGTTGAATAGCGGTGTGCACGTTTTGCCACCCACGTTCGAAACATGTCTTGCAACAAATCAAGTTGTGACAGGTTTCGTGAATACCGTCGTCTGATTGGATAAATTAGGGATCTTACGATCCGACAACGGCGACGTCCATGAAAACGTCGCTGAAAAACAGACTTCGCATCATTTTAAACTGTTTCGCGATCATCCCGATTCGCCCTGTTACTTAAAAGAAGGGGATTTTGGCTGGAGCTGGAGAGAGGGGAACGGGCTCAAGTTCAGACAGAGATGGTAGAATTTATCGCCTTGCCCTTCCCGTTCCCAAGTAAACTTAAAATTTGGTCATTTCACGTCGTAGTTGTGCAGCGAAGGCAAAGAAATGTACAAAAAAGCGTGATGCACGTGGTGGGTTGTTGTTTTGCTCATTAAACTTATTAATTTTTTACGTTCCCGTTACCGTCGTCGTCATGGTTTCGTAAGGTCCCTAATAACGCGGAAATAACGCCGTACACCGGAGTTACGTCACTTGCTGTAAAACAAGTTTCCTTGGTTCGGTAAAAGGCGCAATTTGTACAGATTTTGTTGCAAAAAGTAGAACGACTCTCCACCTTCTGCAACAACTTTTCGCAACCTGCAATCAATACCTGCTCCTGAAGGACTGCCTTTTGGTTGGTAAACTTAAAAAGTATCTTTGAGTTCCGTGCTTCTTGAAAGGAGAAAAAGGAAGATAAAAAATGTATCGCTTAGCGTGTACTCCCTTGGTTTCAAGGACATTTTTTGCAGATGCTTTTTTTTCTTTGTTACAATGCTTACTTGTGTTGACTTGTAATGAGTGAATGCCGACTACTGGAATATTGAAATCAGTTATTGAACATGCATGCAATAGCCCGCCTTTATGCCACATATGCGTCTATTTCAAAGCATGGAAATGGTAAACATTACATTTTTGTACTTACTGTTAAGACGTGCAGAATATTTAGGACAAGGAGAGCGCTTTCTGTGACTCATCTGTAGTCGCAGAGAACATTTACCTCAGGACCGTAGTTTGTTTAGATTGCAACTTTTGCAGGTGCGTTTTTGAAGCTGACTTCTCAAGCTTTTACAGCACATGAAAGTTAAGGCCGTACATTGTAGTAACTTTGTTCCGGTTAGTGAATAGAAAGATAGTGTGGGAGTTTTGAAATGATTCCAATATTCCCTAAGACACGAGAGCAGATATAAGTGATGTGATATTTCGAAGATAAGGAGTCATCGATCATGACACAGATGTACGGAAGTAGAAGTAGAATGGTTTATTGATTACCTTACTAGCAGTATGAACTGAATTGCTAAGTTTTACAATTTAAAGAAAAAAGTTATGAAATATAATTACGAAAATACTGCATGCTAACCATATGAATCCTGCAACTTCGAAAGTTTAAAATATTAGACTAACTAAGAATTGTTTAAAAACACTTGAACATTTGTTAATAAAGGTATGACAGCACCTATTGGTCTTGCATGGCTTTACACGTTATGATCTAGAGTTCCTGAGGGCCTTAGAGGGTCCTTCGTTGAATGGTATGAGAGGGTGCAAAATATCAAGGGGATTTTCTCCAATGTTGTTAAAAAGTTTTTTACACAGCTCTGTCCTTCTTTGCTCTAACGTAACAAGGCCTGAACGTGGCAGGGCATCTGAGCAGTGTGCACTTCGTAACCAAAAATTGTCCTCCGAGCACGTTTCAGTATCCGTTCAAAAGTTATGGTTAGATATTGTGGAAGACTAAAATGACAAACCTGGCAGCCATGGGGTAAAACAGACTGGATGCAAGCTACATAGAACTGAACCAGTTCTTCAGCTTGTACTTTTGCACGCTTTAGTTGCAATAAAAAATACAAGCGTTTGGCACCTTTTTTTGTCATTTCTGTTACATGAGAATTCCACTTAAGATCTTCTTGAATATGAAAGCGTAATACCTCAACTACCTATACTTTATTAATCTTACAACCGCATCGATTTCTACAAGTTAATGATTTGTCAGAGAGCGTGCAAATGTTATCCTTAGTTATTTCTTTTTTAAAACTGATTGGCGTAGATCTATATATGTTTTGTAACTTTATTTCTATACTTGTAGTTCCTTTTTCAGTCGATGTAATAGTCGTAGAATTATTTTGATTAGGTTGATAGAGAGCTGGTTGACGTTCCACCATACCTTAACCTTTTTATTCAGAATTCATTACTTTTAAGGCTTTTCAATTCAGTTCACGAACTGACGTTTTGGGTCTCCCAGTCGTTCGGTAGATTATTGTCATAAAGTAAGAAACCCAAGGACAATAGATAGTTCACGGAATTCCGCAAACAGAGTTCGCTCGAGTTATAGAAAATCTCACTGTCTCAGTCACGAAAAATAAGAAGTTCATCTTCAGGCCTGGAAAGTCAGTCATAGAATTTAATGGTTAGTCGTGAAAAGTCAGGGAAAACTGTGTTGTTGTTTTCTTTTTTTTGGTTTGTGTTTTGAAAATGTTTGAAAGTTGACAGCTAAACGTAAGGTCATGGAAAACTCGACAAGTTCGTGCAAAAAGTCGTGGAAATTCTTGGAATTTCAAGAGCTCTAAAGAGTATGCAAGCCCAACAAAAGTCATCGCGTGCCTCTTGATTCTGTATGGCCTATGGCTACAAACTGCGTCCTGTTCTAAATATGACTTGTGAATCATTTCAAGGGAATCTCTCTAATTCCATATGATTATAGTTTCGTCAACAATATTAGTGGTTGACAATATGAAAACTTTCGAAAATTCGATAAATATTCCACAACTAGATATAGGTTATCGTCATATTGCCTTCCTGCAATTTCACTGGCATGTTGTGCTGTTGAATAGCCTTTTCTGAAGCCAAATTGGAAATGGAATATCGCTCTTTTCATTAGTTTTTTGCAGTGAATGTCTCGTTTTGGTCAAGTCGGAACTGTGATTTCCCGCAAGCTTTATACTTAAACCGCTGTAGAATACCAATATTAAATTTTTCAAATTAATATTCACAGTGGCGTTATAGACGTGACGTCTTGCGTACAAATACCTCAAAACAGAAAGTTCGTTATGAAAGAGCTTGTAATGTGGTGGGTCGGATGCTTATCAATTCGGGGAAGTTTGTCAGCTAAATTGCAACGTACATCAGTTAATGTGAAATGTTTCTAAGAACAATTGTTCTACCACGTCCATCATGTTTCCAGATGATATCAATCCTCATGTTGTTAGTCCTTATGTCTTGCAGGTGTGAAACTGAGACAAATGAATGTCTTTCTTCCCCTTGTCTCAACAATGGCACTTGTATTGACCGATTCAATAACTTCACCTGCAACTGTACGTCAGGATTTACAGGACATCGCTGTGATGTCGACATCGATGACTGCGTGATTAATCCCTGCCAAAACAATGCTACATGTGTTGATGGTATCAATCATCGAACTTGTTACTGCCCTGCTGAGTTTTATGGCGCCGACTGCGGCAAAGTGCGAGATGCATGTCGTCCCAATCCCTGTGACAACAACGCGAACTGCTCTTTCGCCGGGAACTCGTACAACTGTAGCTGTGTTTTAGGATTTGAGGGTAGAAACTGTTCAGTGAATATCGACGACTGCAAAAATGACTCTTGTGTTGCAAATGCCACGTGCATCGATGGTGTTAATAACTTTACTTGCCAGTGCCCAGCCGGGTTCCATGGAGAGTTCTGTCATTTGGAAATTAAAGAGTGCGATTCAAATCCTTGTAAGAACAATGGAACATGTCTTGAAGGGATTGATGGCTATAACTGCTCTTGTGTAGTAGGATTTAATGGCACACATTGTGAGCATAATATAGACGACTGTCCGTCACATAACTGTAATAATGGAACTTGCATCGATGGTATTAACTCATTCACATGCAGTTGTTCTTCAGGTTTCACTGGGGAAGTTTGTGACTCTGACATTAATGAATGTAATCGTAAGTACACGTCGCACTAGTCTTAAAGTCTTCTTAGTGCAAGCCTCGCCAAAAGAATTTGAGACACGTTCCCCTGGCACCAACACTACCCATAAGGAGGGGGATTATCTGAAAATTGCACATATCATATATTTAAGATGAAGTGTCCTAAACGTTTTGATCAGTGTTGTAGGTTAATGGAGTAACATGGGGTTTTTCTCCCTCCCCTGATGGAGTGAATGTGATGGTAAGGATACATCATAGTTAAAACCCCTTTACTGAACTATTGGTGTTATTTAGGGAACTTCATGTACAAAGCACCTACAAAGTACCCCCTCCCCTGAGGACGTCTTAACCCTTAAGGCATCAACGTCCACTTAGAAATTCTCCAGATTGATCTACATATATTTCCTTAAGGAATTAATTGAGAGAATGTGTAAAAAGTTCAAAGCGTTTTCCCTTAGGCTTAGTGTAAACAAATAAGTTAGGGGTCATTTACAGATATATCCATGTTTTAATTCGATATTTTAATACATTTTTAGTTAGTTTTAATAGTTTGTAATGCGCATTTAATCATTTGATATCTGTTAATTTGCGCAATACCAAGTAATAAATATTATTATTATTATTATTATTATTTGTTTTATTAATGGCCAATTTCCGAACTGCTTCACGCCTCTGTTTCAAACGAGGCTAAGTGTAAAGCTATTTCTATTTAGTCTCATTCAAATACAGTGTAAAACTCATTTTCACAAGAAAGATTTTGAACTTAGCCTCGTTTTTGAAAGTTAAAAAAAATCGAAAATAGCTTATTTCATTACTCTTTCTCGTTATGATGTATGGATATTGTTTGGAGAAAATTAGTGTTAAACTGAAAGGGTTAGGCAGATACTTTAAGACCTTCGATATTTCCCTTTATTAGAGATACGTACATACGATCCTAGTTCGTGGCTTGCACAAGTTAATGGTGAAGCGTCCGAACAAGCGTTAGATTTGTCTCCTGACATGAGAACATTAGTATTTGTGTTTTCTAGCCTATTCGAGTCATAACGTTTGTTTGTGTTTTTTTATTGTCAGCTAATCCCTGCAATTGTAGTACGTGTGTTAATGTCCCTGGTTCATACCGATGCAATTGTGATCAATGGACAACAGGTGTACACTGTGAGATTGATATTGATGAATGCCAAAACCAGAGCCTCTGTAGCAAGCAGTTAAGTCAAGGTGTCTGCAATAACTACAATGTGGTTACAGATTGTGACGTTCAAGAGCGGAAAGGATACGAGTGTTTTTGCAGAAATGGGTTCCAAGGTAATTTTAGCCTGCGTTACAGGAAGTAGAAGGGGAGTGGGAAAGGATTCGTACTCGCTTAAGGCGCGAGAAGTGTGAATGTGGTGCCGATCTTCCCGCCAGAAAGTGCTCGAATTCTTCTTTTCCCTCGCCCTAAATAGCGCGTGCCATGAAAGCGACCCTTACTGAAATGCAAGAAAAAGCGTTTTTCATAGTCGTGAATCTAATGGATTAAAGTAGAACTGAACACTGCACTGTTGATCACTACAATCGCAAGATTTGACCTAATTCCTTTAAAATTTGAGTAAACCGTTTTAGTACGAGAATGGCGTCGATTAGGCGCTGTACATTTGCAGTGTTTCTTCCCGTTATGATATTATTCATTTAATTAATAATCAGTTTGGCAATTTAAAACTTGAGTCGTACTGTGAGAGTCTTCAAAACCAGTAGTTCATTCGGTTTTAAAAGTTTTTGTCATTATGAGATTGTGGAGAATAGGCATCAATGACGGCAGGATTTTGCCTTCCATAAACGAGTCTAGCTCCCTGAGCGTCGTTTTCAAATTGTGATTTTAAAGGCCTTCGTTTTTTAGTCATACTTTGGTTGCAATTACATACAGGAAATGCTTTAACGTTAAGGTATGGTGTGGAATTGCAAATACCGGCCTCGAATTGAAACGTGCACTCAGTAGTGAAATGCGTCATCGACTTACGCTCAGTATATTCGTGTACAACACGGAAGAATTGATCCATGCTTTCTATGCTAAGGAGTGTAAAATTCACAAGTTTTATACTATTCTGTGCCACGTGTCGACCTCTAGTCTATACTGTCCGAGGACAGGTGAATTTTGTTCCCCCGCGAATCTCGTTGTTTCCCAAGGTTGTACTCGTGCTGTTGAAGTAGGTAGGAACGCGTGTTGTTTGGGATGAATTTGAAAATTTTGCTTTTTCTTTATTCCAGGTCATAACTGCGAAATAAATACCGATGACTGCGCAAGTTCGCCATGTCGAAATGGCGCGACTTGCACCGATGGGGTTTTTGCCTACACTTGTACATGTGCAACTGGTTGGACGGGAAAAAACTGCGACACTGACATAAATGAGTGTGACCTGCATGTCTGCCAAAACAACGCAACTTGTCTAAACTTAGATGGAACCTACAACTGCACATGTAAGCCTGGATTTTCAGACTTCAATTGTTCCACTGATATCGACGAATGTGAGTCAAGCCCTTGTGTTAATGGAAACTGTACAGATCTGGTAAATGGCTTCAACTGTACCTGTTTTCCTGGATATACAGGTAACCTGTTGAAACGCAAATAGTTATGGACTACATTTAAGGGGCCATGTCATGCTCCTATTTGAGTTTTTTTAAAAGGGCTTAAACCTGCCTTTGCATCAATTGAATTCCGCAAATAATGGTCCAGCTTTGTTATTAAAGAATTTATTTAGGCGTTGAAACTGTTTCCTGTCGTCTGGTGCAACGGATGGCAAGGATGGACATGTATTGAAACTAATCAGTGAGCCCTGATGAAGTTTCGGATCATTTTATGTATCTGTGAAACTGACCACCTACCCCTCCCCTAAGCCAACATTTTGCCCTAAGTAAGAACTAAGTGTTAATGTTGGTTTAGGGAAGGGGTAGGTGGGCAGTTTCAAAGAAACGTAAAATGATCCGAAATTTCTTCATAACTCTACAGGAGTAATTTGTGTATGGGTAAAGGCAATAAATAATGACTTCAGCACAGACTCGCTACTTGTCGAGTTTGCTACTTGTCGAGTTCGCTACCTGTTCGCTACGTTTTACTTTTTGTAAACCATTTAAAATATTGCCTTAATCCCACTAGAAAAAAATCTTTTAATAAATTTCTCGTTCTTTTACGCTTCCCCCTCCAAAGGTGCAAGTTTTGGACTTTGCCAATTGGCAGCGAGCCCAGTATGTTGGTAGCGAACTCGAACGTAGCGAATTTGAGAGGTAGAGAAACCGGTGTAAAGCCCCTCGTAACTACCCCGTTACGCTATGATTTATGTCTACTAGCAGTGTATCCTAAATATGACAACATCATCATGATTTCTTTCCTAACAGTCTACGCAGTCCTTTTAGAAGAAATAGTTTTTTTGTAATCTGTAGCTAATGACCGAAATATGACCATTATAAGGCCTGGTTCTGATTGAGCTACGGTTGTTGCCTGCACAACAACGTGATATTTTGAAGACAGTGTTGATCCTTTTTTAAACCTAAATGGTCGCCAAGATTTTTCTCACTGTACTTCATATATTTTACTTCCCTGGGCAAGCTATCGGTTTGATGGGTGGGGCCGGAAAGCCGGGGTTTCTCGCAAGCATGAAATTAATTGCAATACTTTAGTCGGGGCAATTGATTCTGAAATTTTTTGTTTTAATTGAAGTATTTCAATATTTTTCGTCCCACAGGAAAAAATTGCTCCGAGGATATCGACGAGTGTGCGTCTAGTCCTTGTATAAACAACGGAACATGCTATGATTTAATAGCTGATTTTAACTGTACTTGCCCTACTAACTACACTGGTAAAAGGTGTGAGACCAAGCTCACATCCTGCGTTCCGAATCCATGCTTTAATAACGGCTCATGCACGCCACACCCAGAAAACAACAACTACACGTGTGAATGCTTTCCGGGGTTTGGAGGTGCGCTATGCGCGAACGTGACCACCATTGGATTGAGCGGCTCGTCATTCATGTTTTTCCAGCTTGACAGAAATGCCTTCGAGCTTTCGTTTCAGTTTCGGACCACTCTAAGCTATGGCCTGCTTGCGGCTGATTCACGAAATACTTTTCTTGTGTTTCTCGAAACAGAAAATGTTACTATCGTGTACAATAAGGTTACTAAGCTTTCTGTCGGCAAGACAGCCAACCTCAGCGATGGCCACTGGCACACAATTCATATCAACATATCTTCAAGCTCTGTGAGCGTGACAGTTGATAACTCTTCTTGCGGTCAACACTGCGTTGCTTCATCTTCTCTGCAAACTCAAGTGAGCCTAACAGATCTTTACGTTGGTGGATCTCCGTTTGGTCCAAGTTATGATCATAATACGCTGTATAATTTTACTGGCTGCATCCAGGACGTAACCATAGACAGGAACACTGTGATTCCCACAGGCTCACAAGTGTCTGTAGTCAATACCAGTATTGGATGTCTCCGCCGTGAAGTTTGTGCTTCGAACCCCTGTGCGCATGGCAAGTGTGTAGATAAATGGATCAAGTATAGCTGTGAATGTGAGCGCCGCTGGATTGGCCCACAATGTAATGCAAGTGAGTAATAACCAAAACTAAAAGACAAGTCGCACAACATTTTAACCAAATTTTCCTAAAGTCGCCTTAAATCGCCTAAAATTACGGCGACTTAAGGTCCCAGAGTAGGCCTTAAAAGGATAAGGCTGTTCAATGTATCTGTTTAAAATGAGCTGCAAAAACTGTTCCCATCTGAGACAACAAGCAGGACCAATACAAGACATCGTGTGACAGTAAAATGTCTGTTTAAACGAAGCAATGCGTGTAATTCCCTGGGGGATCGTAATGCATCAAGTGATGTTGTAGTTATTGGTGATCGATTCCCAGAGCAATCAGGCACATTGTGACAAAGGGTTTTACATCTGTACTTGTTAAGCTTGAATTTCGAGTGCTTATAGATTAAGTAACAATAAGTGTTGTAATTAATCGAAAAAATAAGTCACCAGCAAGAAACGTTAGTCGTCAAAATGGGAAGAAATTGGTTTCCGCAAGATGCGTTTTTAGTTATCTGTACAGAAAATTGCGTTCCCGCAGTTTTCCTTTTTATCGTTTGCACGAAGATTATGCTTTGGTAACGCCCATGTTCTCTTCATTTCAGCTTTGATTCCAGGTTCGTTTGGTGCAACCGAACCGTTGAACGTTGCTAGCAACAGACGGCGTCGGGATATTCAGAGCATGCAGAATGCGAGCTTTGCTAAATTTCTCACCAATCGTACAAGTTTTGGCGCTTCTGGAGAATTATCATTCTTCATTCGAACTCGAGAACATAACGGTCTCGTGGTATTTATGACAGACAGTGGCGACAACCATATTGCTGTTGTTGTTCATGAAGGATTCTTGACTATTCAAGTGAAGTTAGACGGGGTAAATTCAAATGTGACGCTCTATGAAAGCATAAATGACGGAGAATGGCATTTCGCGGAAATGCAAGGCAACATGTTGCGTCTTGATAACCACACACAGGAAGTTGTTCTAACTGGGGGGAAAAGTATTAACTTAACTTTCACCTTCATTGGAGGATTGGATGACTATAATCGGTTCCCTGATGCCTTTCTTATAAGAACCCCATTTCGGGGCTGTTTGCAGGACATTCGACTCAACAATCAACTGTTTGATTTCGGCTATACGTCTCCCTCGTTGATTTCCATGGATCAGTATCAGTTACTAGCTAGTGGTCATGTGGGTGAAGGGTGTAAAGGGATGAACGTCTGTCGTTCCGCTCCATGTGGTGTTGGAGGATACTGTAAAGATTTATGGAACAAATATCAGTGTGACTGCAAACCACGCTATGGTGGGACGGACTGTGCACTGTATGGTTGTGCCCTGGTTAACCTGTGTCCTGCCAATACAACTTGCAGAGATGTCGGTGAAAATTACGAGTGTAAGTGGCCAACTATTTAAAGTATTTATTCTTTTATTGTCGAAGTTTTTTTCATAAATTTTGTGCCAACTATATCACCCCAAGTAGGCGAGGACTTAGATTTATGATGAGAGTGAAGGGTCCAATTTTCTGTACCAAAAGACTCAGTATCGCTTGCTACGTCTTTTGGATTGATATCCCTTCAGGGTCTCAATTTTCCAGCTAAATACTATTTTCGGCCGCTATCACTTTCGGACTCTTAAAGTGCGCAAGTGCGTTGGAGCAACAAAAATTGATCGCAGCGTTTAAACGGTGTCAATTCAATCCAATATTTTCCAGTATCTGTGTACGTAGACAAAGTTGTTGATCAAAGGAATTTTAGACGAAAGCCCAAACTATGTTGCAACGCTCTTCCAACAAGGTTTCAGTGTTATTTCAACGTTTCTCACCAATATTGGAAGAATTGGTCGTGCGGTGCCAAGTCAGTATCGCTAAGTGTTGCTGGAACCCACGCACGCTCTCATCATTGCCAGAAATGGTATTGAAGCAAAAGGGTGCCTGTCATCAACGTATCTGCAAAGATTGCTCTGTGCTTTTTACACAGTTAGGGTTGACTTTATAACTAGCTTGGCTTTGGCACTCCACCCTCTGATAAGAGACAGTGAGGAATTCTGTGTGTATGGGACTCAGGGCAGAGAGAATTTAGAATTTTTTCTTGTCTATTCGATAGGTTTCCGTCCTGTCACATTGAATGGCAGTTCAAGTAGTGCAGTGTTCAAATTCACTTCAAACGTTAATGTCAGCTTCAGTGTGTCTCTGAGAGTGCGGACAAGACAGCCATCAACTAGTTTGATTGACATAAATCAAGACCAGAATACTTTCTTTAAGATGGAGGTCGCGAATGGGCGAGTAAGAACCCATTACCTTTTAGAAGGAGAAAGTGGTTTAATATTGTCAGGTAAGAGTCAATACAGTTCGGCACAAATTTCGGGGAACCCTCTGTATGTACTGAGGATGTTCTACCCTTAAATATAGGTCATACTGCTGTGAACTTACACTATTTATCACTGCATGCTACAACGTATCGCCTTGTGCATTTTAAACTGTTTAAAGTTGTCAGATAGGAACATCTTCACGATACATTGCTCGGTTATAATCTGGTAAACTAAGACCTAACAACAAAACGCATGACCTAATGAACATTTGGTTGGGTACCCTGGCTCCAGAGGTCCGTTCTCGAAATACTTAGGATGAAGTAAACCGTGGTTACGGTTTGAGAAAGAGTGAGGCGCTTCGCTGCGAACTATCGGGAATCATATATATAGGTAAAAAAAAAAAGTAACCTCTAGAACTCAGGGTAATGGTTGGGAGGGAATTTATTAAAACCACGGAACACAGCCAGGACCTACAGGCTTACCCTATTGGGACATCGTCTACTTTTCAGGAACTTCTGTCAACTTAAAACCTTAAATTTTGGTTTGTGTTTGTATTTTCAGATGTTGTTGTTAGTGACGGCCGATGGCATGACGTCGTCTTCAACGTCACCAATAATCAAAGTCATGTTACTGTAGGCGGTAGCGAGACTTATAACTCATCCAGACTTCCTAGTAGGGAAATAACCGGCTTATTACAACGCGCTTCAGTTTTGGTTGGCAACTCGGTGTTTAAAGGTTGCTTAGATAATGTCCGCATCGGAGGTCTTTTGCTCCCGTTTGTTGATTACTATAACGGTACATTGAATGTAAGTCATGTGACACCATTAAAACCTCACTTTAACACCACCATCGACGGAATACAGCTTGGTTGCCATGGTGATGATGTCTGCGCCATGAGTCCTTGTGTACGCGGAGTATGCGGCGACGTTTGGAACCAGTTCACGTGTGCTTGTCCCGAGGGATGGGCGGGAAATGTTTGTAACCTGACCGCTAACATGACTTGCGCACACTCCCCGTGCGTGAATGGCACGTGTTATAACCTAACGTACGTTAACGTTTCAACCAATGAGAACCAAGTAAGTGACGTAGGGTTTGACATGTTTGGCTGTAACTGCACCGCAGGATTTGAAGGAAAGCGATGCGAGAACGACACGAAGGAATGCGCCTCTGGGCCTTGTCAAAATGGAGGAAACTGCACAGAATTGCACCTAAACTACAGTTGCTCGTGTGCAACGGGTTTTATGGGAAGAAACTGCCAAATAAATATTGATGACTGTGCAGACAATAACTGCACAAACAATTCCACTTGCGTTGATGGAATTGCGTCGTATAACTGTTCATGTGTAGATGGTTTTAATGGCACCTTCTGTGAGCTGGATATTGATGAATGCGCTAACACGCCGCCTTACGGTCCTTGTAACGCTACGGGAACGCGCAGTTGTAACAACACTAAAGGTAACTTCGCTTGTGACTGTAAACAGGGATATTTTGGTGCCTTGTGTCAGTATGATCCTTCTTTGACCTGTGAGATAAGGGCACCTTGCAAAAATGGAGGAAATTGTTCGGATAACGCTACAGCCTTCAGTTGTTCCTGCCCTGCTGGTTATAACGGTACACTCTGTGAATTTGACATTCACGAATGTGCTGAGTTACCTTGCATGAACAATGGAACATGCATCGACAGTCACGTCAACAAGTCGTATTTCCCCGGTTATGAATGCCAGTGCACGGTGGATTACACCGGAAAACAGTGCGAAAAGCTCATTGATTTATGCAATGAGTATCCATGTAAGAACAATGCAACGTGTGAAAGGTTAGCATATAACGAATACAGATGCAACTGCACAGAAGGGTTTGGAAATGTGAATTGTAGTGGACTATTGGAGAACTGCCCTCCTAATCGATGCAACAGTGGAGTTTGTATCCCGTTAATAGATAGTTACGTTTGTCAGTGTAACCGTAGTTATACAGGGAGGAATTGTGATTCACTCATTAACAAGTGCGACTCTAATCCTTGTCAGAACAGTGGCACTTGCAATGTGCGAGAAAACTCCTTCGTTTGTTCCTGCGGCTTAGAATGGGTGGGTGAACAGTGTGAGTTTGAAAATCGCTGCTCGCCAAACCCTTGTGAGAATGGTGCTTCTTGTATAGTGAATCCTCAGTTTGGAAACTTTTCATGCGTGTGCCCTGATGAGTTTACTGGACAGTCTTGTGAAACACAGCTCACATCGAGTCCTCCAGTTGCAAAGGAATCTCGGGTATCTCCGTATCTTATCAGTGGGGTGGTAGTGGCGGGCCTCGTTGCCATTTCACTTTTTATTCTTCTGATTTTGGCTCTGAGGAAACGAGCGGGTAACGGTACTTATAGTCCAAGCAAGGAGGAAGGGCAAGCTGGCCGAGTGGAACTGGATTCCATACTCAAACCTCCACCTCTAGAGAGGCTCATATGATTCCCTGCATATTGCAAGCGAGTATCCAACAGGCGAAACGTATTGAGAAAAGGAGGCAGACAGGTCATAAGACTGCCAATTTCTAAATTTAAAGGAAATCACAAATTTATCGTTGCAGAGTACTTAAAAACGGCGAAGATCACCTGTCTTATCCTTTCTCCTCATCCATCAATTCAAAATTTATAGACTTAGATTCTAATAAATACGATACGCGTACACGAAAACTGAACATGCAGAGTGTCATTCTTCAAGTTGAGGATCTTCCCAAGGAAGACTGATGTACTACAGACTGACAGATTTCACCGGAATTTTACGCAAGAGAAGATTCCTCTCTGGAAAACATTAGAGTATGAAAGACCCCAAGGAATAAACCTCATCAGTCGCATTTGTTCGCAAGATCTCGTTTGGTAGAGGACGATAATAAGCATAGGTTTTAAAAGATATTTTTCATGGTTGCCGTGTCACTCGGATTAATCATCAGTACATACAGCTATTTCGAGAAAGGTTGTCGGCAAAAAGATGTGTGCACGCGACAATGCCGAAAGGTAATGTGGGATATGATCAATACACTGTTCCTGACTCTATAGCTGCCAAAACGTCTTTAGTGTTGCTTTCCTTTAGCACGCGCAAACATACGTCCATGGCCTCTTGTGCCATTCTTTGAAATTTCTTTGAAGAACAGTGAACTCAAAACCACCCACAATACCTTTCGGGATTGTCGCGTGCACTTTTTCCGACAAGCTTTCTCGAAATAGCTGGATATGTTGATTCATAGGACCTGGGCCTCACATGTGGATGCACACAAGCACAAAATTTGGGTCTATAAGTAAAGTTGGCGCCAAAGAATAATTCCAACTTGGCAGGAAAAGAAAGACATTCGTGTTTATGCTTAAGTCGAGCACCTTATTAGAAATAAGAACGACTTAAGCATGGGCAAAAGAGGAGCAGAACATTTTGATATTTTTATGTTTATGTTTTTATTTCTGCTTTTCTGACTGTAACGGGTAAGGTGAAGCATCTTGTGCTATAGTCGATAGTAGCGGCCGGGCTCACGGGCTGCTCCAGTGCGTGCTAAAAGCGAAAGTTCAAGAAACATGCTTCAGTGTAATCTGGCGTGACACGCAGATGAGCAAACTATCAGTTTTTCTTGCGATTATTCTGGTATTACCATCATGCTATTTATGTGCGACGCTGCCAGACAAGCAAAGCACCAGCTCCCTTTTTCCTTTCTTCCTAATCCCCTACCCCTTTCGACGCTTGCTACGCAGGCTAAGTATCACAAGAACTTAGTGACAACTTATCCTTGATTACATACCCTCTTGGCGTATAATTATCCTCTTAAAGGTTCTTGTGCTTATGCTCTGCTTGTTGTCTTTATCAATGTTTCACTTCTAAAATCATTTTTAGACACGATGGTTTTCTTATGTAATAGTTTGTGGATGAAATCCTGTTATATATGTGATCATTCTGATTAAACGTCTTCAGGAGTGAAAGGGGAAATGTTAACACTTTTGTCCCAAGAAATAATTTTTCATGTTTCAGACTAATTTTTTATGACTCTGCCAATATCATCTTTGATCTGTAAAAGAAGATTAAATGGGAAATATGACAAAAAGATTCGGAAAACTGGCGTAAGGAAGGCTTTTTACAGACCTTTGCATTGTGAACGTAATTTAAATCTATTTCAATGTCGTTTGTTGCCTTCAGCCGATATTTTCTCAGTGGTTTTCTACAACAGGGCGTGCTTTCTCGTTTTTCGTACTTCAGAAATATATTTAATAACCCAATGTATATAGGCGCCTTCCGTAAAATTGGTGTAATAAAAAATTATTTTAAGTTAATTTTAAATTTACGTGACTACAATGTAACTAGCAAACGTTGTATACCGTTTTTAAATAGTTTTCATAAAAGAGTGTGGTTGCTATTATGTGTGTAGCTTGAAATCCGCTTTAAAGTTATCGGTGGGTCCTGAAAGTTTGGTGACACCTATTTGGTGCATTCTCTCTCACCCTGCGAGTGACTGCATGAATCAAGTAAGGTCTTTGTTGAGCATGCGCGGCATGTTGTTAGGATATAGTTTCGAACCCAGGCCTAATAATTATGCACTTCAGCGGGCTCGGTTTATCAATCAACAGATACTCGCACTCGATTAAACCTGATTGACGGGAGGAAACAAGATTGACTAGTCCAGAAGTTTGGGCTGCGGCGACCTTAAAAGCTTGACGCGATTCTGGGAGACCTTCCTTGTCTCCTTCTCACTTAAGAAGACAACAGAAGGCTATGCTCGCAGGGTACTACATTTTGTGTGGTTCAATCTAGCCTGTTCCAGGCTCTCAGATAGTGGGGAAGACGCGAAAAGTTGGCGGGGCGAGAAAAAGGAAAAGTTTCTTTCTGTTGTTAGTTTGTTTCTTAATATTCGCGCTTTCTCAATTCAGCGGACCCAACTATCTCCGAGCCTGGAACAGGTTAGGTCCAATTCGATTCGAATATCTCCTGTCGTTGCCGGATACGATTTAGTAAGGCCCTACACTGGGCAATTTGTCTCTCAATTTTGTGGCCACACATCTTGCAAGCCTTCTAACTCCCCCTGAAATGAAGCCACCTAGCAAGTTGCAACGGTTTCTTACAGCAAGTGTTGCACGAAAAAGAATCAAGTGTTATTTCTCGCAACGTTGCAACATCTATTGTTTGGCTTTTGACAAATACTGAAGTGTCAATACACTAGGTAACAGTGAGCTTAAGCAAAGACGTTTTTGAGCGACACTCGTAACCGGAGGTGGACCTTTTGCACTCTTTGACAGTGTTTTCGCTGAAAGTTTTTAGGAAAATTGTCTTTATGGGGGAAAAACACTTAGCATTAAAAATTTAGTAGCCTCGATGCATATTAAAAGGGAAGAGGCCTCAGTTCCGGTGGACGTAGGTCGCTCAAAAACACCTTTGCTCAAGCTCCGTAACGACTCCCCGTCTCTGCCCCCTCGTTCTTAACAACCACGTGACAAGGCGGCCATGTTGGTGGACAAAACAATATACTTTTTTCGCGGAAAGTGCATTTTTAAGGCCGATACACACGAGAGATTTTGCTCCCGGAGCATGCTCCAGGGTCACGCTCCGGGAGGAAAGCTCCTCCGTGTGTACCAACTATTTCATGGGTATACTTCATCCTCGGGAGCAGAATTTCCACCCCGCAAAATGCTCCACGATATTTAACCGGTTAAATATTTGGGAGCAAGCCCCCGGGGCAAATTAAGCAAATTAAAGCAATTTCAGTGCTTTGTAACATGTTGCTCTTCAGTTTTTTTTTCCTTTAACATGTTCGCACATCCCTTTCAATGCCAACCTAATACTGATTACAACAATATTGCCGTAATTTTCTATCAGCCTATTTTTTATTATTACTAATGTTATCAATATCAAAATCGTCATCATTATCATGATCATCATAATAATCATTTTTTCTTTTGAATACGTGTTTGTAACAACCAACAATTACAAGGAAGACACAAAGATGAAAGAAGTACTTGTTTTAACAACTACCTCCTTTATTTACAAAAAGTCTTAATTTTTATTAGCAGTTATACATGTAAAATGAAAGAAAAGACACACGAAACACCACCATGCATTAAAAACTATAAAAATATTCTACAATTATTTCTACAATTATACTACAACAAGGCATTAACTCCTACGTCTCAAACTTTGTTTTACGGACGTCTCTTTTAAGGTATTTTTAAGTCATTAGAGAGCCACTTATCTACAATCTGAATCACATTATTGAAAATCACACAAACTGAGAATACATCTTTAGTGAATAAGACACTGAATCAAGTAAACGTGATCAAAGGGAACAATCTGGTTATCCGATTTGCGCCCGAAGGAATGGCATGTTGAAAACAACATTGGCAAAGTCAGTTAAAATATTAGTTGAAGTGACAGTAGGGTTTGGCGCTAATAATCTTACAACATGTACAGGAGCGAACTTAGAAAGTTGTATACATAACTAGTGGGATGGTATTCCCCGGAATGAAGGAATCAAAAAACAAGTTTCTAAAGTAATGTCATTCGTTACTTTCGAAATTAGTAGCCCGCGAAATACTTTCTCGCCAAGATCGCGAAACTAATTGCAAATAAGGTATACCGTAAAATTCCGAAAATAAGCCCCTCCAAATATAAGCCCCCGAAACTCGTAAGGAAAAAAACCCTCCGACAAATCGTCCCTCTGAACATAAGCCCCCGGGGGCTTGTACTTGGAAATTGCTCTCAAATATAAAGTAAAACGAAGCAATCACGATGCAGTAACAGAAATTTTTGAATTTGCCAAGTAACTATTACGTGTGCCAAATGATTGCAGTCAAAAAGTGTCACAGTTTATTGCCGTTTGGGTAGTTCACTCTGCATTCTTGACTTGGATTTCCTCGGTCCATATAGACAAAGTACTTACATGGATGCGTTTTAGAAAGGTCTACGTCTTCAAGGCGAATTTCAGTAAAACCTTTTCGTACATTGCTGACATAAATTTCCTTCCAACTATAAGCTAACCCGATCGATTTTGAGACACAAATTTCCCTCCAAGTATAAGCCTAGCCGATTTTGAAGCGCAAATTTCCCTCCGTATATAAAGCCCCTCCGAATATAAGTCCCTCCAAAAACAATCCTCTCAAAAAGGGACTGAAAAATATAAGCTCCGGGGTTTATTTTCAGAATTTTACGTTATATGAATGGCCTCACATGGTCTTAAAGAATAAGCCCGCAAAATTTCGAGATCTGTCACATTTTTTTGCAATACCTAAATAAGAGCGATTTCTCCGTGATTCTACTTTTTACATGGTGTCCTCCTCAGTCTGTTTTAAGCCGATGAAAAGACAAGGATAATATTTGTTTCAGTGTGACGTCAGATGAAATTATACTTATCGGACGGTTTAGTGTGTAGTATCGTAGGACAGGAGCCGTATTTTGGCGAGCATGTAGGGCGAGTCAAAATATAAGAGACGAGTAAAAATATCCCACGATACTACACATTAAACCGTCTAATAAGAGATTTATCATTCCACTCGAGATGTTTTAAAATAGAATTCAGTAAATACGTAAAACGAGAATGAGTGACTGATTAACGTGACTCCTTTGCAAATCATACCGTTCAAAAGGACAGCCGAGGAACGGGCTACCGATTCGGGCCGACTTTGGCCCATCCTCGGAGACCCAGGGGCAGATAGTGGGGACGAGGGAAAGTCTAAACGGGCGGAAAAATGTGGCACGAAGAAAAGTAAAGAACGGCGAGAAGAGCCATTCTTTACTTTTTTTCGTTCCGTATATATTTTTCCGCCCGTTTAGACTTTCCCTCGCCCCCTTTATCTGCCCCTGGGTCTCCGAGGATGACTTTGGCCGACTTCGGAAATTTTCGAAATCATCCAATATGGCGGCCCAAGTGCGGTGAAAACTGAGAGCCAAAGGAGCCGTTTTATCGCCAGAGAAACGGCATTTTACGGTATTGTTAACGAAGTTTGCATTTATTGTGACTTTTGAAGAGTTCTTGGTCATGTATATTGAGCAATCCTTTCATAAATGTCTTATCTTGTCTTGTTGGCCGGCATTACCGAAGAAAATAGTACCGTCCAATAAAGCAACATTTGCCTCTTTCTAGCTGCAAGCCCGCTAAATGTTTTGTACATGTTTTTTGCGGTCTTCCAGTTCTTATGCAAAACCGACTGCAAAAAGGTAAACTGAGCAGAGCAAATTGCGATGGAAAGACCAAAAATCTCCCACGAAACTCGTAAACAACGGACTTGAAACGTCATTTTCGCCGGGATTAGTACTAACGTTAAGTCTTGAGAGAACGTCTAGTCTTCCACATCGAGTTTCCTCAAATTTTGAAAGGACTCTCTGGCAGGTGAAGACTGTTAAGCTCCTGGGCGGGGATTGAATTTAATCAATATTGTTTGTGTCTCGGATTGTCGCCGTCACCATGCATCTCATGCACACGTTCAGGTCTGTTTTGATCTTCTCTATTGTATTTTGAGCTTATAACGTTTGTATGTTCTGACTGTTTTTAATAAATGTCGACATTTCATTGTTGAGGCAACTTTATTCTAAAACACGGTTTTATTCAACCCTACAATTTCGGGAAATTTTCTGCTTTGTGCGACGTTTATTCAAAACCGGTCAAACCGGTACTCTGGAGTACAAATACCGTGAGATATTTGTACTCGTTTCACTCACTTTTCTTCCTTTTCTCTGGCCTAAAGCCCACCACGTGACTTGCAAATAACTGCCAACAAATAATGCTCTGCTCATGCGCAATGTCGTCCAACTGTGTTTGGCTGCAAATAATATTCTGCCCATGTTTGAATGAAACCACGCTTTCTCTCCTTCTTGCGATCACTCTTGTGTGAAAAGGGCAGATCACTTCCAATCCATGAGTTTATTCATTAAAAAACAAACGGCACGGTGATCGAATGATAAAACAATTATCGAATTCTTTTATCGCCGAGAAAATATCGTGATTTGTCAGTGGCGAGCAAATCAATTATTTGCATCAGCCACCGGCTTCGGCAAATAATTGATCTGCTGGCCCGGTGACAAATCACGATATTTTGCTGAACCTCGTCCAATAATTGTAATTAATTATCAGCGAACTCTGTGACTTTGGTTCAAAGAAAGTTTCTGTGTTCGTTCAGCAATATCATCCACGCTATCCACGGGTTCAAGAGAAAAAATGGTTTTGTACTCTTCTTTGATTATTTTAAAGTGAC